CCACTTTTTCTGGGGACCCTTTGGACGCACTGGGATGGGAGCTGCTCCTCCCACGCTCGCTGAGGAACTTCCTCAGAAACTGCTCTGGACGGCAGGCGGGGGGAACCTGCCCACCTGGAGGATTCCCATCCCCCACAATGTGTGACTAGCGCATCCCACAGGTGCCAGCATGCGTGTTTACCGCGCCCTCCTCGCCAGCCCCTTGGGGCTCTTCTGCTGGGCCACACGGATTTCCACCACGACCTTGCCACGTGCCATGGCTTTGGGCCCTGCGAGTTTCACACCCACCGTGGGCGTTGAACCCCCGTGAGGTTTGGTGGTGGTGAGAGCTTTGCAGCAGGAAAGGCAGGTCTGGAGGATGCCTCACCCCAGGGCAATTCTATTCCCAGGGGGTGTGAACACAGAGGCTCCAGAACACATCCCCCTAAAGCTCCCTGGAAACCCTCACGTGCCCCAAGGCACAGCAACCAGGGTGAAGGCCAGGCCCTGGACGAGGGAGGCAGGAGGAGCTTCCCACTGGAGAAGAACATGCTCCTTCAGCTCCTCAGAACCAGTGCCAGCTCAACCGCAGGCAGCCCCAATGCCAGGTGAGCCCCCAGGGGCAGTTAGGGAGGTGAGGACTCAGAGGAGCCTGGGAAGAACCACCAGTTCACTTCTCTGCTCCCTGCCCTCTCACCTGACACCTCTCAGTACCCAGGCGCTCCCCGAACTGTGTGCCTTCCACGCAGGTGCCAGGACAGAGGCCAGCATGCCCTGGGGCTCCAGCACCCTCCTGTGGCTGGTGGGAACACGCCCAGTCTCTCCTTGTGGCCCTGGGCCTCCGGCTCACACTCCCGGCACCTGCAGCTCCAGGCCTGGCTGGGCATCCTCTCTCCCTGTGCCTCTTGCAGACTCCCTGCCCATCTTTGCTTCACTCCCACTTGTCCTTTGAGACCTGGCTTGGTGCCATCACCCAGGGACATGCCAGGATCCCGGCTGTGCCTGATGATGGGGGCGGGGTCCCTGCCAAATAGAAAGAAAGCCACAGCCACTTCCAGGCCAAAAAATAAAAGACAATGATTTACCTCCCTCTCTACTGTCCATAAAACAGGTCCAGCATTCAACCAAAATGCTCAAGTAGCACAGAAAAAAGCAAGAATAAAACCACATTTTCAAGAGACAAAACAACCATCAGAAAAAGACACAGATATGACTCAGATGTTGGAACTATTTGGCAGGGGATTTTAAATAACTATGACTGACACATTAAAGGCTGTGATGGAAAACATGGACAACGTGCAAGATCAGATGGGCTGGGCCGGGTGCAGTAGCTCATGACTGGAATCATATACAGCTGGGCATGGTGCTCACACCTGGAATCACATAGAGGCTGGGCATGGTGCTCACACCTGGAATCATATAGAGGCCGGGCATGGTGGCTCACACCTGGAATCATATAGAGGCTGGGCCAGGTGCAGTGTATCACACCTGGAATCATAGAGAGGCGGGCACAGTGGCCCATACCTGGAATCCCAGCACTTTGGGAGGCCAAGGTGGGCAGATCACTTGAGGTCAGGAGTTCAAGCACCAGCCTGGCCAACATGGCAAAACCCTATCTCCATTAAAAATACAAAAATCAGCCGAGTGTGGTGGTGCACACCTGTCATCCCAGCTACTTGGGAGGCTGGAGCACCAGAATCACTTGAACCCAGGAGGCAGAGGCTGCAGTGAGCCAAGATCACACCAGAGTGAGGCTCTGTCTCAAAAATAAATACATTTTTTAAAACGCTCAACTTACGCAAAAGGCAAAAAATAAATAAATAAATAAATAAATAAATAAATAAAGGAAAAATGAAAGGCATTTCCTTGGTTCTTAAGCATCCTGACTTGTCTTGCTTTGCCCCGTTCTCCCGGCCTTTGATGCTGCTCCCGTGCCCTCCTCTAGCTTTCCGCTCCCTTCCCAGAAGCCGCGTCTCCTGCGCCGCCTCCTGCGCCGCCTCCTGCGCCGCCTCCTGCGCGGCTCTGGCCACGCCCCTCCTGCCTTTGCTTACTGGGCGCCGATTCGATTCGTTCTGCGGCACCGACTCTGCTGTCATGAGGTCATCTCCAGACTGGTTGCCAACAAGCTGGGCCGGGTGCACCCTTCCTCTCGTCTACACCCTGGAGCGAGTGGAGACTGTCTACAGTCCTGCACAGGCAGATGCTTTTCCAGGACAGATCAGCTCAGCTAAAACAGCCTCTTCTCTCCCGGGCTTCTCTCTCTCTCAGATATTCTAAATAAACTATTTTAAAAAGGCTACTTCCCCAGTCAGCACTGTGTGTGACTATGCTAATCTCTGTATCTTCAGAGATTATTTCTGGCGAAGTTACATTTTAGCATTTCACCTCCTGCCTGGTGTTCCTGGTGTTGGGTCGCCAAGAGGATGGGAGGCCAGAGGTGCTGATGGATGGGGGTGCTGTCGCCCAAGGCAGCACCCACTGCCTGGAGGAGCTGCTCTCTCGGGGGCAGACGTGGGCCTCAGGGCGCAGAGGCCGCCCGGTTCTGTGCCTTGTTCTCTGGTCCAGGACCAGCCATCTGTTCATTCGGAGTCACTCCGAGATGAGCGGAACCACCTTTAGTAGGAGGCCGTGTCTCCTCTTTGCGTCTTCCTGAGCGTTTTAGTGAGATTTGGAAGAGCTGGTGCTGTTAACCATCTGCCATTTTATTGTGAGGCCCCAAAACTTAAAATTTCCTAGTTGGGCTTTTACCATACCTGGGAATGGCAATATCACTGGGTAAGCCGCGACTAGACCCCCTCTTGACTCCAGTTTACATCAAATGGAATTTTGCAAATAATTGTGGAGGGCATGGGGTCACTGAGGGACCAGACTATAGCTTCCAGGAATAAACGTCTGCATATCCAGTCACGCTTGTACATTCTGATAGGACTCTGCCCCGCAGACACAACTGCCACTCAGCCGTCCCCCACGCCACCGTTCACTGACCACCTTCTGTGTCCGAGGCCCCCAGGGGCGACGACCGTGAGAAAACAGAAGTGCCTCCGTCCTCGAGAGCTCAGTCCAGCGCAGCAAGCAGGGCGTCGTCATTACACAAATACCACACATGAGAAAAGGAACGTTTTATTTTACTTCTACTGATGTGGCAAATGTTGAAAGAAAAATGTTTTCTAAATAACAAAAACATGACTGAAAAAGAGAAAATTACTGCTGTCTGCCTTGGAAGAAAGCGCTAAGCCTACGTGCAGTCAGGCACCAGGGTGGGCTTGGAGACCCCCGTGCACAAGCGGCCTTGCTGTAAAGTCAGGCGGGAAGCACACAGTGGGAAGGAATCGCCTTCCGCACTGTTGACCCTCCTCCTGCCACGTTTTCCTAATCTGCTGTGAAGCGTGTTTTTTAGAGGCTGCGATTACTCTATCCTGTTGCCTGTCTCACCTTCCTCTGGAAGATCCTGGAGGCATCACCAGCGCCAGGGCAGGCTGCACCCGGGAGGGGTACAGACACGGGGGCCAGCTCCTCCTTGGAGATGAGGCTGAGGGGCAGATCACTGGCTTTTTTGGATTTTTCTTTCTTCATGAACTTCACATTTCTATATGGCTCAAAAAACACCCAATGGTTAGGAGCCTGGGAAGGACTCATTCAAGGACATTGTGGAGCGGAAGCTGCACAGGTCAACCAGCCACAGGGCAGAAGCCGCCCAGTGGCCACAGGTGCTTCCGAGGCAGCGTGTCAGACATGGGCAGCCGGCGAGAGCTGGGCCTCCTCTCGCCCCTGGCCTCCGTGAAGCTGCACCTCCTGGGCCCTGGCAGAGGACGAACAAGGGCTTTAGCGGAGGGAGTGAGCCCCCAGCCAGGGAGGGGGCTCACGTCAGGAGGGTGTAACTGAGCCGCAGACGGTCCTCTTAGGAGCTCCTCCGAAAGCCGCAGCACTGTGACTGGGCACATAACTCAGGAACCAAACAGAGCTCCCTGGATTCCGTTGAGCTGATTTACTGAGCAGTTTCAGAGACGTGGGCCCAAGCAGACTGCCTCCCAGGTTACAAAGGAGTCAGGACAGAGTATGAACTGTGAACTACAGATGATATCCGAGAATTCGTGGACGCCAAAACCCAGAAGAGGCCCAAAGAAAAGGAGGGACAAATATTCATTCTAACTTTAAATAAGAATCTGAGGCTAAGAACTTACCTCAGTCTCAAAACTTCTAGACCATTTATCAAGCGGATTGCAAAACAGCAGCAAGGATGGTGAATGGGTGTGGACTCGAGAGGCCATGTGCCCACCCCACTTCCTTCCCCACGCAACTGTGACCCTGAGTTCCACGGAGATGCAGAGAGAGGCCGCGTGCCTGTCCACTTCCTTCCCCAGGTGACTGTGACCCTGAGTTCCATGATATGCAGACGAAAGATGAATAAATTCCAGCCATTTGTTTAACAAGGATTGGCTAAGCCTCTACTGACACAGCAGGCGCTGTAGCAGGCACCTGGGGCTCAGCGGCCAATGAGACAAAGTCCTTGTGCCCATGGGACAGAGAGGGGGTATGTGTGGGCCAGCGGGGACGGCAGACCAACCCTGGCAGCGTCTCACTGCCATCCATCCACAGGGACCCTAGGAACCCAGGATGGGTGTGCTTGCATGTGTGCATTCCAGCACACAACGGAGCCTTCCTGGGATGGGACTGGACAGGAAGGGACGGTCGCTGTCTACGTTACTCTGTCTCAGCTGTCTTCTTAACAAGCATGTAGGGTTCTGACGGATTTTGTTTTGTTTTGTTTTGTTTTGCTTTTGCAATGGAGTGTCGTTCTGTTGCCCAGGCTGGAGTGCAGGGCCACGAGCTCGGCTCACTGCAACCTCCACCTTCCAGATTCAAGCAATTCTCTTGCCTCAGCCTCCTGAGTAGCTGGGATTACAGGTACCCACCACCTCGCCCAGCTCATTTTTGTATTTTTAGTAGAGAAGGGATTTCACCATGTTGGCCAGGCTGGTTTCAAACTCCTGAGCTCGTGATCCACCTGCCTAGGCCTCCCAAAGTGCTGGGATTACAGGTGTGAGCCACCACGCCCGGTCAACAATTTCAAATCAACAATGAAAAAGCAAAGAAAGGCTGGCAGTTGCTTGCTCAGGTGGCTGGAGAGAGGCCCATGTGAGACGTGCAGCCCTGCTGCTGGGGAGGGGGAGCTGTATCTGTGGTGCCACAGCCGGCCTGGTGGGTCCCTCCCAGACACCTTCCAGGTCTAAGATGCTCCAGTTCTGGCCAGGTGAGGGGAGGTGATCTTGTGACCCAGTGAGAAGACCTAACTGTGCCCATCCGTTCGCCTCACAGACCCACTGACGGCCAACGGTGCTGGGAACATTTTAGGAGGGTGATGGGGCAAAGGGACAGGTGTTGGTGACACATTCTGGGATTTTTCTGTCCTCACACCAGAACTCTCCTGTCTTTGTGCTATGGTTTGGATGTGTGTGTCCCTCCAACATTCAAAGCCTGGAACTTAAGCACAAGGGTGATCATGTTAAGGGGTGGGGCCCTTTGAGAGGCAGAGCCCTGGTGAATAGATCAGTGCTGTCACCAGAGAGGCTGAAGGCCCCAGAGCCTTTCTGCTCTCCGCTGCCATGCGAGGGCACAGCCATGAGGTGCTGTGGGAAGCCGAGGGCAGCTGACCAGACATGAAACCCGGGGCGCCTTGATGCTGAATTCCACCTGCAGGAAACAGGAGGTGCAGATTTCTGTTGCTGATAAATGACCCAGCCTACGGCATTTTGTTATAGCAGCATGATTCCTGGTCTACCTGAGCTACAAAATTCAAGGGAGTTCATTTACTTGTATGATTTCCACACAAGGACAACTTTTAGTACTAATGGAAAACGTGTCTGACTTGCTCTGCAAATATGACATTCCAATAATCCCAAAAGAAGGTGCGCAAGAATTTTAAGAAAACACTGTTGGCAGAGGTCATTTCAGTGGAGTAATTCCTTTTAATTTAGACATGTGTACATATATTTTATGCATAAGAAAATAGTTCATTAAGATACATTTTCATGGTAGACTCTTTAAAATCTAGTAGTAATGTAACAATTTTTTAAACTGTTCTAAAAATAACTCGAAATACTCTCGGAATAGAGGACCCTGGATGTGGCTCTACGCTCCCCTGGAAGTTTCGTAAATGCTAGAATTTTCTTTGTTTCCATTCAAAAGTAGTCATTTATTTACTTGGAATACCAAAGGAATATTCTTGTAAAATAAATTATATACAGAATATACATAGTCTATATACATAAATATACTTGCACAGAAATGTAAAATTATCCATCTTATGTCTTTTAAATTTGGGTCATTACCGAAACGCCGTCCTCTCAGCAACACCCGCTACTTGTGTGGTTTTCCCTCTCGCCACAGGGCTTCCTGCAAAAGCAGACGCAGCCTGTCCCGCTCATCCCCCTCCGGGGCCGCCCACTGCCTCTTCAGGTGCTGGATGTCGATGGAGCCGGAGGCCCTGGCCAGCACCAGGGCCAGGAAGCTGCCACCAGCTTTCTCGGGCTCACCCACCGCAGCCATGGCCACCAGCCTACAGGGAGGGGCACAGAAGCAGAGGGTCAGTGCATACAAAGGGACATTCGGTTATGTCTGAGTCTTCAAAATATCTATCTTCCATGGGAAGAGTGAAACGGATAAGAAATTCTAAAAATACCAATAGCCAAAACGAAAGCTAGACCAGAAATAAATGTGTGAAAACGCATTTCTGCATGTCAGAGGCCTGCCGGATGGACCTTTGCAGAGCTAAGTGATGAGGACGTGCTGCACTCTCTCAGGGTGCCTGCTCTCTCCTCAGGCCAGGAGTCAGTAGCCCCCAGGCAGGTCCCTGGAGAAGGTGGGGGCGTCAGCAGCCCAGGCAGGCCCACCCATCAGAGCCTCATCCTCGGTCTCTGGCCTCCCCGGATCTCACTCACAGCTGAGTGTCAGGGCTCACAAGTCTGCGTCTCCAGCCCAGACTCACCCAGGAGCCCCGGACCCCTCCACTCCTGGCCTGCACGGGACCAGCACCTCCATCGTCCACCCAGTGCCTGAGCACAAGACCTGGGGCCACCCTGCCTCCCCAGTCTCACTCCTAGGGGCCCCTTCCCCACAGTGAGGCCATCCTCATCTCACTCTGATGACCACAAGCTCCCTGACCAGGCCCCAGCTCTAATCCCCTCCCGAGGCTGACAGAGACTCAAAGACACACCTCCGCTGTCTACCTGGCCCCACTCAAACCCCCTCCTGTGGCTGGGAACACGCCCAGTCTCTCCTTGTGGCCCTGAGCCTCCGGCTCACGCTCCCGGCACCTGCAGCTCCAGGCCCCGCTGGGGAAACCCGTCTCCCCGTGCCTCTGGCAGACTCCCTGCCTATCTTTGCTTCACTCCCACTTGTCCTTTGAGAGCCAGCTTGATGCCATCGCCCAGGGACCTGCCAGGATCCCGGCTGTGCCTGATGATGATGGGGGTGAGGTCCCTGCCCTGGTCACTACAGGGGTGAAAACCACATCCAATCTGACAGCTACCTGAGGGCACCCCCTCCCTGCTCACTCCCCAGGACGCGGGGCAGCAGAGTGTGGGAATGAAGCCTCGTGACACCCCAAAAGGGGTAGACCATGAGGAACTACAAGCCACTCAGATTTTCACCAGCGGATACCTGAATACTGCTGTTCAATTGTGTGTGTAAAGCAGGGGTGATGTTTAGCTGCAAACTTGAAAACATCAGTAATGGACGGTGGACACCAAAGGCTTCCCTGACACTGGGCAAATAAAACACAGCCCCTTGGTGAACTATGTCTAGATGCTTTAAAACCACAGCTATGACGGATGTATAAACACAGTACTAGCACCCATCAGTTCTTTTAAACGTCCTTCAGATTTGTTAAGGCAGACAGAATCCAAGCAAAGAGGACAGAGGACAAAAGTGAAAGTTGGGCCCAACGCTGAGCCATCACGAGGCTCCTGCCACCTCCTGTGCTGGCCCCAAGGGCCCCTGCCTGTTCCCCATGGCCAACCTGCTTCTCAACCACACGCAACAGTGAGCCCTCGTCAGAGATTGTAACGTAACTCTAAGAGTGTTAAATCATTGCTTGTATCAAAACTCCTTCCTTTCAAACTACCCGTTTCTTCTTGTTCTGTTTCTCTGTCTAAACAGAGAAAAGTAACTGGACACTTTCTGTGTCAGGTACCTCTGGCTGCCCAACAGGAGAGAACGCCACCTCCTTCCAGAGCCTTTTCCTCTGTGGGAAGTAGAGGAACGTGGGCCCGGCTGCCACCTCCTTCCTGAGAGATGGACAGGGTTGACCCAGACATCCGGCACCGCTGAGGGGTTAGGGGAGCGCCCCAGGGCAGCCAGTCACTGGGGTCTCAGCTGGAGACTGAAGCCAGGGTCCCTAACACGTTCTCCTTCATGGAAAGCCGTGATGCCCTTAAGATGAGGCTCCAGAACGGAGGGCTCCCTAACCTGCTAATGACAACAAACATGCTCTCGACTGGGAGCCAGGCTTGGAGCCCATCACACACAGAGCTGGGGCTCCTGTGCTCGGACCCTCCAGTCCCCCGCCACGGCAGCACAGCCCACCGTGGAGTGTGTCACCCGCCCCTGCCCAGGCCCTGCTGCCCCCACCCAGATCCCATCTCCTAGGTCTCTGCCTGCCCCCTCAGCCCTGACCTTCGCTCGTGACCTCTTCCTCATCATCTGCCTCCACAGCACATTTCCCAGCACATTTCGGGAGCCCCTCGTTAACTCTGCTCATTGTCTGTCTCCACAAGGGAGTGAGAGATCTCAGGGTGCAGAGCCCCAGGCGTCAGGCACAGTCGGTGCTGGGTAAATGTGTTTATCCTGTAATGCAGGCACAAACACACTTTCTGGAATAATAAACTGCAGGTATGTTGTGTGGTTATCTGCAAGTTACAGTCTGGATTTTCGTGTAATTTTTTAATAATTAGAATAATGTAAGTAAACCCAGGAATCAAACTAAATAAATGCAATTCTTAATTTCATTCAGATCTCACTGGGATACCCCCAACATTCCATTAAACTCTTATCTTTCCTTTACAAAAGGGCTGTGGGATTTCTCTCCCCAGGTCGACATGAACCCTCACAGTAGGAGGATTTATTAAAAAGAAATGTAAAATCTCAAGAAAAAAACACAGGTGAACAGACAAGCAGGGCCCAGGGAGAGCGCCTCATGATGAAAGTTTTCGTGAACACTTCTGCTGTGAAACAAACAAAGCAACAAAGAACTACCTAACAGTGGTGTCGACGGGAGCGCGTCTGTCTTAATTCCATCAGTGACATCACGTGAACTGATGTGCACGCCCCAGCTGCGCTGGTCTGGCTGTGAGCTGAGAGCCCCTTGAGGGGCCTGGGCCGGAATGGCTTTAGTGTGGAGTCACGTGGATCATTAATTCCACGCGCTATCCCCTTTTCCCCCTTTAGACACTAGGGGAACACCTAGTACCTCGTTCAGACATTACAAACTTATAGTCCATAAGACTGGCAAAGGAACATAACTAAGAAGCTCTCACAAACTATCATTTCTTACTCACAGAATACTAATGATGGGGAAATACTGCACGATTCGATTAATCTATTAATCCAATAGACTACCTTGCGCTAAATATAAAATAATCACACTTTAGAGTGGTTTTAAAAATATTATTTAAATGCACAATCCAAGAGTGAACCCTCAGTAAACTGTGGACTCAGTGGTGGTGTGGAGGCAGGTCCGTGGTTCCACCTCACGTACCTCCGGCCAGGATGTGGGATAGGGGCTAGAAATCTCTGCCTTCCACTCAACTTTCTGTGAACCCAACACCGCTCTCAAAAACAGTATTTTTTAATTTTTAACTAAACATATTATTTAAATTTACATATGGCCACATCTTAAAATGTAGCAGCCTCATGCAAACATCAAAGAAGAAAGACCACAAGTGGCACCTGTGGCCAAAGCACCCCCTGCAACCAACAGCTGGTCCAGAACTTCCCCACTTGCCTGTTGGGGGAGAGATGCTGTTTGGCAACAGGACCCAGATCGCTCTGGAGGAGGTCCCAGATGTAGATGTTGGATGTGTCATCCTGCACCAGGAACACGGCAGGCCTGGTCGGGGACCACTGCAGGCCGGTGACTGCATGGCTGTCCGTGCTGCTGTCCCACTGCAGGAGCGGGAACGCGGAGCTCAGCTGGTGCAGCCTGATGCTTCCGTCGGAACAGCCGGCCTGTGACCAGGAAGGATGAACACTGCTGAGCACGGTCTTTTCCTTTCTTTTTTTGAGAAGGTCTTACTCTGTCACCCAGCCTGAAGTGCAGTGGCACAATCGTAGCTCACGGCAGCCTCGACCTCCTGGGCTCAATCAATCCTCCTGCCTCGGCCTCCTGAGTAGCTGAGACTACATGCACGCACCACTACACCTGGCTTCTATATTGTTCGTAGAGATGAGGTTTCACTATGTTGCCCAAGTTGGTCTCGAACTCCTGGCCTCAAGTGATCCTCCTACATTGGCCTCCCAAAGTGCTGGGAGTACAGGTGTGAGCCATCATGCCAAGCCTCTTTTCTGCTTTTTTCTTAACTTGATCTCAGCAGCCAGATAAATTTTTCAGAGGATTGCTTTTCTTTAGTTTGTACTGCAAAAACATTAATTTGTTGTTTTCCAAACATAAAATTATTATATTGAATCTCTCCTCAAAAATTACAAAGGTGAGCACTGACCTGACTCTGACACGCTTTGTGTTTCTCTTCCAAAATGGCCAATAATCAACAGACTCAGTGAATATATAAACACGTATTTACTTTTAACAAAGTTGAGTATCAGTGATTCAAGCATGGGCCATTAATGTTAGCTCCATGAAAATATGGCACCTTTTACAAAACTACATACATTTGTGTCAATAATATGGTTATATACTTCCCTTGGATTGAAGTTTTCATAAAATTAAACTGGTTTAATAAAAGACCAAATTTTTAGCTTTTAAAGAAAGATTAATTTCTTTTTACTAAATATATTTTATCTTTCCCATATTCAAAAAAAAAAAAAAGAAAAAATCAAGAATGGGAGTAAAATTCTAAAATGAAATATAAACAAATTTAAAAACCTACATTCCAAATGAATAACATAACCACACAGAAAGGAGGGGCAGGAACCAGGCCACACAATTTCTGAACACCCCAGGAAATGGCGCTTTATACCCGAAGCCCAAGCAGAGCCCGGAACACAGGCTGCTCAGTGGCCTTCATCTCCCCAGGCACGAAGAGCTCTGTGTATTCCAAGAGTGAGCATGTGAACGGGTAAAGCGCAGGAAGCATCCACCAGATCAATCGTCCTAATAACACCCTGTCTGAGAGTCGGGCACCGCCGTGGAGGAGGGAGACCCTGTCTGAGAGTCGGGCACCGCCGTGGAGGAGGGAGGCTGGGGGGACCGTTTGTTAAGCTGGAGTTGGAGATGAGGGTGCAAACTCACAGTGTGTGATGCCTGTCTATGTGGTTTACAGATAAAAGCAGGTATTCCGTGTGCTGTGTCTCTGAGCAGGCCCACAAGTATGTCAAACACTTCTTACTGCCCGGATCTTGGCTTCTAGATATTTCCTCCACTCATAAGAGCCAGAACTCTGAGGAGAAGTGGCTGGTTCAGGGCTCACAGGATGACATCAAAAGGATAAAGAGGCAGCTCGAAGGACAGCCACCGACCTAACCCAGAAAATTTGAGCAGCAAAATAAATACTGCTAGTAAATGATTATGACCTCTACTGAATAACGTAAAAAGCAACGTGTCCACAACATGTAATAAATAGACACATACATCCATATACAGAGAAAGGAAAAGTCTTCCCCAACAGTAGAAAGCCAACTAGTACATGTAAAATTAACGGTGGGCTGGAAAATCACTACTTGCCAATCATCCTAATAATCAACTCAGGCGAGATTCATCCATGGATGCCGGAACTGGTGGTGAAAATCTAAGGAGTTTTGAGACGTTTACAAAGTGTCAGGGTATCTCCCCATGAGACACTTCATCAGTGGGACCACGGTAGTTCCACACGGTCAGAATTAGTGTTATGTGGGATGGTACAAACTGACATCATGGGTCTCCCAAGGACACACATCACCCTGAGCTCCTCCAGCCAAGCACGAAAAAGCTGTGTCTGTGACGGACCGAAACCTCAGACAAGCTCAGGCTCAAGAACATTCTACAAAGTAACTGGCCTGTGCCCTTCAAAAATGTCAAGGTCATGAAAGACGGAGGAATTCAGTCTTTGACATCCAGATCAAGGGAGTTTAAAGAGACAAACCACTGAATGAGACACATGAACTGGGACATGATTTTTCTTACAAAGGACATTATCAGACAATCCATGCCATCTCCCTCCATCTACAGATTCGATAGCAGCTTTGTACCAGTGTGAACTCCCTGGTGACCGTGACTGCAATAGCTATGTGGGGATGTTCTTGCTTTTAGGAAACGCACGCTGAACTGTTTAGGGATGGAGTATCATGTCTGCAACTTCCCCTCAGACAGTGAAAATACGCGAACACCCAGAGAGAAGGAAGCCCACGTGGTGCTGCAGAGGGTGCGCAGGAAGCCTTTGAACTGCTCGTGTAACTTCTCTGTAAGCCTGAAATTGTCAGAATAAAAGCTTTTTTAAAAAAAGTCCATTCAGGCTGGGTGCAGTGGCTCACGCCTGTAATTCCAGCACTTTGGGAGGCCGAGGGGGGTGGACCACAATGTCAGGAGTTCAAGATTAGCCTGACCAAAGTGGTGAAACCCCGTCTCTACTGAAAATACAAAAACTAGCTGGGCATAATGGCTCACACCTGTAATCCCAGCTACTTGGGAGGCTGAAGCAGGAGAATTGCTTGAACCAGGGAGTCGGAGGTTGCAGTGAGCCGAGATCACACCACTGCACTCCAGCCTGGGCAACAGAGCAAGACTCCATCTCAAAAAAAAAAAAAAAAAATCTATCCAATAACCATATGAAATGATTTGTTCCACATGGGCAGATAAGACTTTCAGAAAGCAGAGGTTCTGTTTTTTTCAGAAAGCTGAGATGCATGCAGGCGACCCAGTGCCTCCGGCGTGTGGGTGGAGGTCCTCTGGGGAGGGTATAGAAACAGGCCAGGGCAGAACCTTCCAGAGGCCGGCCCAGACACCTCTGGAGGCTCCTACGCCTCCGGACTCAGGAAGACCAGGATACACGAGTCCTTTGGAAACATCGTTCTTTCATGCATCTTCACAAAACATAAGATTTACTGATAATGTGTACGCTTTAGTCACAGAGGCAGGGTCTGGACCACATAGATTACTATCCAATAGAAATATAATGGGAACCACAAATAGGAACCACATATGTAATTTAAAATTCTCATTAGCAAGGTATGGTGGGGTGCACCTGTAATCCCAGCTACTCAGGAGGCTAAGGCAGGAGAATCACTTGAACCCGGGAGGCGGAGGTTGTAGTGAGCTGAGATTGTGCCACTGCTTGGGTGACAGAGGAAGACCCTGTCTCAAAAGTAAAAAAAAAAAAAAGAAAGAAAGAAAAATCCAGCAGCCACATTAAAAAGTAAAAAACAAACAAACAAACAAACAAAAAACAAAAAAAGTTCTGGGCATAGTGGCATGCACTTGTAGTCCCAGCTACTCAGAAGGCTAAGGCGGGAGGGTGGGAGGACTGCTTAAGCCTGGGAGATTGAGGCTGTAGTGAGCTATGATCACGTCACTGCACTTCCAACCTGGGCAACAGAGCAAGACCCTGTCTCTAGAAATTTAAAAAACAAAAAAGGTAAAATGTTACTTCAAAATGCAATCAACAACAAAATTACCGTTTTTCATTGAGATAAAAATATACATCAGTAATTTACCATCTTTATAATTTTAAGTGCACAGTTCTGGGGTAATAAATACATTTATATACTTAGTTTTCTTTTCATCCACACTAGCTCCCCGCTTTCCTGACTTCTGGTAGCCACCATGCCACACTCGGTCTTCATGAGATTCACTGTTTCGGCTGCTATGTATGAGGGAGAACAAGTGGTATTTGTCTTTTTGTGCCTTACTTAATTTCACATAATGGCTTCTAGCTCCATCCACACTGCTGCAAATGACAGGGCTTCATTCTTTTTTACACCTGAGTAATATTCCATTGTGTATAGACCACGTTTTCCTTATCCATTCATCCACTGATGGGCACTTAGGTTGACACCATCTCTTGGCTATTGTGAATAGTGCCACACTAAATGTGAGTGCAGATATCTCTTTGATGCATTTATTTTCATTCTTGTGGATATACCCAGTAGTGGAATTCCCGGATAATATGGTGGTTCTATTTTTAGTTTTTTGAGGAACCTCCATACTGTTTTCGTAATGGCTGTACTAATTTACATTCCCAGCAGCAGTGTATGAGGGCTCCCTGTCTTTTTGATATGAGCCAGTTTAACTGCAGTGAGGTGATGTCATGTTGTGGTTTTGACTTGCACTTCTGTGATTAGTGATGTGGAGCATTTATTCATATTTCTGTTGACCATGTGTATGTCTTCTTTTGAGAAATGTCTGTTCAGATCCTTTGCTCATTTTAAAATCAGATTATTTATTTTTTGCTATTGAGTTATTTGAGCTTCTTATATATTCTGGTTATGAATCCTATGTCAGATAAATAATTTGTAAATATTTTTGTTTCCTTTGCTCTTCAGAAGCCTTTTAGCAAGATGTAATCTCGACTGTCTACTTTTGCCTCCAGCTTTGTTCTTTTTGCTGAGGATTGCTTTGGCTATTCAGGATCTTTATTGATTCCATATACATATTAGAGCTTTTTTTTTTTTTCCTATTTTTGTGAAGAATTTCATTGGTATTTTGATAAGGATTGCATTGACTCTGTAAATTGCTTTGGGCAGCACTGTCACTTTAATAATATGAATTCTACCAATCCATGAGCATGCAATGTCTTCCCATTTTTTGTGTCCTCTTCTATTTCTTTCATCAGAGTTCCAGTTTTCCTTGTATAGATCTTTCACATCTTTGGTTAGATTGATTCCTAGGTATTTTACGGTTTTGTTGCTACTGTAAAGGAGACTGCTTTCTTGATTTCTTTTTCAGATTGTTTGCTGTTGGCATATATACATGCTACTTATCTTTGTATATTGATTTTGTATCCTGCAACTTTACTGAATTTATGTATCAGTTCTAACAGTTTTTTTTGTTTGTTTGTTTGCTTTGGTGGAGTGTAGGT